TTGTTAGATATACACAACCATATATGAAAAACTGCAGAAAGACCCTCAATTAAAGCTATTGATCATTGGGAAGAAGGGAGAGAAGGAATGTGACAGGTTTTGTTGAGGGGATGGATTTACTAGCAAGAGGGGTTGACTTACTAGGGTGAAAGAGGATGAATTATCATTTAAATAGATGATCAGTATATGAAAATAAAACAAACCTGTTGAAATAGTCTTAGGAAGGAAGAGTAGATAAGAGAATATAAAGGGGAGATTGATTGGATTGCATTATACACATTCATGGAAATGTCCCAATGAACTCTCCTCTTGTATGATATATACTAATAAAAACATTTAAAAATAGTAATAATGTTAGAAAAATCTTTATATTTGGAAGATGCATGTTAAAGTATTTAAGGTTATGTTATCATAACATGTGATTTACTTTGAATGTTCCACCAAGAAAGAGAAAGTAAACATGACAAATTGTCAACTTCTGAATTTAAACTGTAGATATTGGGCATTCATAGTATTTTTATTTGCATACATAAATATATAGATATATAGAGAGAATTTTCCATATAAAACAGAAATGTAAAATTTTTGTCATACTTTTATTAAAGCCCTGCACTTGCTTCCAGTCATATAAGATGAAAACTTTATTATGACCTGGAGGCCCTACCTAATTTGTTCTCCCTTTTTCTCCTTTTTCTTGGCTTTATCTCCTACTATTCTCTCCTTAACTTGTTCTGCTGGTCATACTGGCATGTATCCACATAAGGCTGTTCTTTAGCTTTTCACGGACTCTTTCTCTCTAGTCCTCACTTAGCTTACTTTAATCTTTTAAGTCTTTACTCAGAATTTACCTCTTTTCTGAAACCAAGGCAACTATTCAATTTAAAATTGAAAACTTCTCCATTCCTCCTCCATCCTGTATCATCTCAATTTTTCTTACTTTTTTTTAAGGAAGCTGCTAGTCCTGGGGTTTGAACTTATGGCCTGGGTCCTATCTCTGAGCTTTTCAGCTCAAGGCTAGTGCTGTAACACTTGAGCCACAGCTTTATTTACAGCTTTTTTTATGGTTAGTTAAAGAGTCTTAATTGACTTTCCTGCCCCAGATTGGCTTTGAATTGTGATCCTTAGATCTCAGCCTCCTGTGTAGCTAGAATTAGAGGTGTAAGCTACTTATGCTCAACTTCTTACTCTGTTTGTAATCTTTTTTCAAGTGATTACCATGTTCACCACTTTCTAATATGCTATCTAACTTGTTAGTGTTTTTTATACTTACTGGTTTTTGTCTATAACCCTCATGAGGTTAGCAATAGTCTGAGGCAAATTGAGGTGCTTAATGTTGGTATAAAATTAAAGTGGGCATCAAAAATTCAGCAAATAATCAAGAAAATATTTTATGTAACACTTTTATGAATACATATATGACAGAAAATCCATAATAATATCAATATTTTAAGTAGAAACAATTCAACAGTGCCTTGTTTAGCCATTTTGACACCTAAAAGAAAAATGTGTGTGTATCTGTGTATATACATTTATGTTTAACATAGTATATGTAGTGTTAATGAAAATATTACTCATGACTTTTTCATTACCTTTTAATATATTGTACATTGTTTTGACAGAAATATTATTCATGAGTTTTTCTTCCATTAAAGTCAAGAATATAAGATTAAATTAGAGGTTGAATATTTAATAGAATAGAAAATTTTAGTTTCAAATTTAAGGTTGAATAGTTAATACAATATTCAACCTTAAATTTGAAACTAAAATTTTCAGTATTTTCTTACTATCTTACTACTTTGAAATGAAACATTGAAAATACAAACTTTCAGAAACATGTGTACAATGTTTAGTTCAAGAAATATTTCCCTAAGTAATGTACTAATACACTTACATAAAGTCACATTTCTTTTTCTTTCTTCCTTTTGGAGGTACTGGGTTTATTTTAGACCCTTTACTATTTGAGACATGCCTCAACCCTCAAATTTGTTAATATGATTTACTTAATAGTAAAGAACGAATCTTTTAAGTGTTCTGTTATTCAAAATGTAGCATATGGCAAGTATTCAATTTACTGGTTAATATTTTATCATCAAAGTAATTTACTTGGCATAAAACAAGCAAAACTAGCTTTATCTCATAAAATTACTAATTCTAATAATAGTGGGTCCTATTGAATCTTCTTAAGTTTTCTCAGATATTTAATGTTTCACTTACAGTATAATCATTTAATTCTTTCTAGTTTTAAGGACAGTGAATATCAGTCTTCCTCAAACTAACTAAAAGATGAGGTTTGATTTGCCATAATTATTTCTGTCATGACCACCTAAATAAATAGGAGTATACAGTTATTACAAAACATTAAATAAAAGTAGGTGTTTTTTTTTTAAAAAAAAAAAAGACAATATATGCTAGCAGACGTGCCCTATTAACAACAATAAGTGCTTCCTGAAATTCTGGGGCACAAACAGTCTTCCCAAACAGTTTTGCAATTGCTGGGAGCCTGCATCACTCACAACTCTAGTGGAGAGACACTATACAAAGGGTAGGATTCCACAAAACCATGCAAATGGAATTAAGAATGCTGAGGGGGAGGGGGAAGAAGGTTGGTAAGAAGAAAACTGGCTTTTTCCGTGTAGTATTTCTACTAGAGGCTACAGAAAAAACACCACTTGTCAAAGGTGTGGGATGATGTAGGATCCACACTTTATCTATGTCATGATTTCCAAGAGAACTGTACCCAAGTGCCCAAAACTAACAACAGATTTGGAGGGCTTCATTTTCTTTTTTTGTTTGTTTAAGGGGAGGCATATGATTCCTATTTAGTTCAATTGTGTTTAGTAAATTTAAATTTCTATTGGACATTTTATTTCATTGTAGAAATATTTTAACTAATGTTCTTTTCATTTAGTTGGTGGAACTTCATGTTTTTTATGTCCCTGAAGGATCATGGAACTATAACTTAAATACTGTTTCACTAGAGGTTATTAATGAATTTGTTTCTGCTGGATTTATAAGGTAAATATTTTGTGGCCATGTAATGATACCTAATGTTTGTTTTTTTCTGAAAAGAAGTATGTTATCTGGCAATTATAAATAAAAATTTTCAAAAATTATTAAAAGTATAAGTGAAAAATATTTTTCCATGTGATAGATCCATACTTAATTTAATACATACTAGAAGTAAATAGCATTATGTAACAGTTAAGCCAAACATTGTGGTAGGAACAGTTGTCACTTAGCTATAATACCATCACCTAGAAAATAGTGAATAGCTTAGCTGTATATTACTAATTTTATACACTAAAGGATTGTAGAGAAGTTAGCCGGACATAGTGGTGCACTCCCAGCACTAGGGAAACTGAGAGGCAGGAAGATCATGAGTTTGAGGCCAGCCTCAGCCACATAGTGAGGCTCCAACTGGAAAAAAAAAAGGAATTTAGAGAAAAATTTGTTATTCAAAACTTGTTTGAGAACTAAAACATATACATATGTGTGTTGTTTGTATTTATTCGTATGCATGCATTTTGATATTCACAGAAACACACAGAACTTCACATAGTTGACCATCTGTTATTTCTTTTACTAGAAATTCAATCCACTGAACTTAATATCAATCCATAAATAATGAGATCAGGATTTTGGAGAAAACAAATGAAGGTTTATTAATTTTGCCAGGCCAAAATGAGGACTGCTTGAGCTATAATCTCAGAATGAGGTATAGTCCTAAAAGGAGAAGATGATTTAAAAAAAAAAAAAGGCCCAGGAGCCTGGGCTTCCTGATATATGCACTGGGGCATGGCTTTGGGCCAGATAATAGCCTTCCCATGTGCTGGTGTTGATCTTCAGATTTGTATTCCTTGCTGTGCCAATTGTCTTTCACTACTGTCATCAGCAAGGTAAAGAGAGGAACACGGTAGCCCTGCCTGGATCTGTTCTTTCACATGAGAGGTAGTCGGAGAGGGAATGGAAGAGATCAGAGAGCAACGAAGAGAAGGAGAAATGTCTTTTAAAGACTTGTATATTGAGTTAAAATATATTTGTAAGCATATTTTTGACTATTTGGTTGATTTCTGTATTACCATCCCTTGGAATAAGGTTTAACGCATGATAGATGCTTGATAAATGTTTGTTGTTTCAACATTGGTTCAATGAACAAATTCTCTCATATTTTCCAGAAGATCCTAGACAAACAAGAGCCTAGAAAAAAAAATCAGAAATGATGGCTCTACCTTTTAGACACTGAGGAATGTTCCTAGTGAGCAAAAGGATGCTTTGCAGCATTTGATCATTAAAGATATTCTTAGGACTAGCTTCTGCTAAACATCCATAATAAATGTCTATGGCTAACTAATTATTTTTGTATAATTTTTATTGTAAAAATACTGTACAGAGGGGTTAATGGTTTCTCTTATTTGCAATAACTAGTACATGTGTACGACAAGAGAGCAGGTCAAAAGCTATGTACATATGACCATTTAAGATGATGTTAAGCGAAATGAACCCCAAGATAGGGACACAAATATTTTTTTTCTTTCTTGCTATAGTTTCTAACATATTCATAATGTACCCTGTAATTTTTTTGTTTCTTTGTATGTTCCTCCCCCACGGTGTAACCCCTGCTTTCAATGTATTTGATGTCGGTGCACTGCATCTTGTATATACACTTCTGTAATTCAGGGAGGGCTAACTTATTATTGAATACTGCTATAACAAAGCAGTACTCATATGCTATGAACAGCATATAAATTCCATGACAAAATTTTGTTCTAATTGAAAAACTTGGAGGTAATTTAGCAAAGAAATCATTTTCCTTTTCAGTATAAAAAGGTCTTTCATAAGCAGTATGCATTTGTATAATTTTTGTGGAACTGGGGTTTGAATATAAAGCCTTCAGCTTGTTGGGCAAGTGCTCTGTCACTTGAGCCATGCCTCTAGCTTATTTGTATCATCTAAGTAGACTTTTAAGTCACTTATTTGAAAAGTAGTTACTGCAGATCTCGATGTCAAGTTCTGTATAAACATATTACATTAAGATACATCTGACACATTCAATCATTGTTTTTGTGATAGCCAACTAAAATTATTGAATAATTAATACATGAAAATTGATTTACTTTTATATTGAGTGCATTTCATGATATTTCAGAGTATCTCCTCAACTTACCTTACAAGCCTTGAGGGAGCACCTTGGTGATTTTCTTGGTGAAGATGCTGTTGCAGAAAAATTTTTATTTCTGAAATGCATTGGAAACAATTTAGCTGTGGTAAGTTTTCCTTCTACTTAAAGGAAAGCATGCCTTATCAAATTGTGTCTCTTAAATGCTTATTAACTCAGTTCCTTAACACATGAGATGTGAAATCATAATGGAATGCAAATATCACTAAACATAGATTATAAAAGATGAAGTTCATTCATATATTATTAGGCATTGAAATGATGGGATTGAGAATAAAAGGAAACATTTAAAATATGATTCTTTTTAATGTGATTCTATAGGTAATGTATTTTAATGTTTAAGCACTACTGGAAAATTGGGCCTCCTAGGCAGGTGCTGTACTATTTGATTCATACTTTTGGCCCTTTTTGCTTTAGCTATTTTTCCAGATAGAGTTTCATATTTTTGTAGAGGCCAATCTCATACAACAGTTTTCCTACCTATGCCACCTGCATAGCTAGCATTACAAATGCTGACTTATTGGTTGAGATGGAGTATAATTATTTTGCCCAACTGGCCTTGAGCTGTGATTATACTAATCTCCTGAGTAGCTGTGAATACAGAAATGTACCACAACTCTTCACCCTAGAATTTTTAACTTGAAAGAGTAGTTTTTAAAAATACTTTATATGAATCCTTGTGTTCTAGAGAAAGTGGTCTTATTTGCTTGGGCAACAGCTGGCTTTATTTATTTGTAGTTTTCTATAGAATTTGCTTAAGTTGAGAATATTCTTAGTGGAAATTTCCAATCTAACAAGCCACTATATCTCCGAGTCTCTGTGTTCTGTCATATTATATTTCTAATGAAATGAACTCTCTTGGAAACAAGACAGTTTGTTGTTTTCTTTTCTTTTTGTCTTTGTCCATTTACCTGCCCTTGGGAGGGTCACTTGCACTGTTATTATAGGCCAGGGAAAGTTAGGGAGCCCTATCTCAAATACAAAAGGAAACAAAATTTAAATTAAAAAATTATAAATAATAGGACAAGTTATTTAACTTTTCTTTGCTGCTTGTCTTCACCTATAAACAATAGATAATATTAGTGCCTATCACAAGAAATTGTAAGAATTAACTCAGCTAATATATGTAATATATATAGAATAGTGCCAAACACATGGTAACTTTCTTAAAAACAATTATCATAATATAGAATTTCTATGTTTGCTACAGTAGATAGGATATAGGATTATATTCAGCACTCTGTAGAATCTAGCCATGGTTCTAGCTTTTAATTTGATGTGTATGACACATAGGTTAGATAGATAGATAGATAGATAGATAGATAGATAGATAGATAGATAGATAGATAGATATGCCTTCTCTAGAGAAAAAACAAAGTAAAAATGAGTAGTAAATGTTAAAAAACTTTACTTTTTCTTATTTATTTTTAGGTGACGGAAAAGCAAGAATCAGAACTGAAACTGAAATCATTTGCTTCTCCATACGTATGACATATTAAATTTATGCTGATTTTAAGTTTTACTCAAGTTTTTAATTGTTGTAATTGTTTTCTTGTAATTTCTGGTGTGTTTTAGGCTCTTCAACCAGAATTATATTTGCTTCCTGTAATGGACCACTTAGGAAATGTTTATTCAGAGCCATCAACAGTTACTTTAGAGGAGCAACAGATTAATAATGATATTGCTGAGGTTGATGAAACAATCCACCAACCAGTTAATGTAATTTTGTCAATGGATGAACCTGGAAGAGATCCCAATTTCTTCGTAAACACTTTAAAAGACCTTAACGATTATCCAGAAGAAGGTGATTTCAATTAAAATTGTAAAGACAATGATGTTTTAGCAGTCAATCAATGAGCAAATTCTGTGGGCAAACCTAGCTTTACAATTTTCAGCAAGATAAAATAAAAGCTACAATTTAGGTTTTACAACTAGGAAATTTCAAACAAATTGCCATGTGGAAGAGAAAAGAAAACATAACTAGAGAACTATGTTAAAATGAAAAAAAAATCATAATAGTCACAGCACTTAAATCTACCACTTTTTATGGGAAGATAATTTCAAATAAAAGAATAAAAGAGAAATAAAGTACCCCATAAAACTATAGTGCTTGCTATTCAAGTACCAAAAAAAATGGATTCAAAAAAAGTATCAAGCCACAGCAAAATTTCATTTTGAGAAAGTATATATTTTGAAGAATTAGAAAATTTTAATTTGATTGCACCTATGAATTTACTAATCATTTAAATGTTAAAAAGTGACAAGTAGTTGGGTGCTAGTAGCTCATGCCTGTAATCGTAGCAACTTAGAAAGTGGAGATTTGAGGATCATGGTTCAAAGCCAGCCCAGACAGGAAAGTTCAAAACTATCTCCAATATAAATAAATAAATAAGTACATAAATAAATAAAAAGTGGAACTGTGGCCCAAGTTGTAGAGTGCTAATCTTGAACAGAAAACCTCCGGGATAGTGCCCAGGCCTTGAGTTCAAGCCCCAAGGAAAAAAAGTGTCTAGTAGCTAAAATGCTTCTATTAAAAGTAAACTTATAAAATATAAACAAAGCAGACTATAAGTATTAATAGAAAACAATCAATTGAACATTTATAGCTTAGTACATAAATTGTGAGGGAAAATCAGGTATACTACATATATATAAATGAAACAAATTCCCACAAAATAACTTCTATTACAATTACTAAATGTATTAGTTCCTATCTAATTGTATTCTTTTTCACTTAAATGTATGCTTTACCTGATCATTTCCCATACCTTATACTTTCTTTAATCTTAAGCACATTAGTACTTAGCCTATAATTGGCACTAGTGAAATGGTCAGTGAGATTCTTTTAAGTTTTTATATGAATTTCTCTCCTTTCCATTCATGGTAATTATTTAAAGCATAAAGGAGTGCTGAAGGCATAGCCCAACTGGTAAAGCACTTTCCTAGCAAGCATGAAATCCCAAGGTTCAATCCTCAGTACTGCAAAGAACATTTTTTAAACTAGGAATGACATATAAATGTCAAAATATACCTAAAAATCTGCTAAGTTTTACATTGTTCCTGGTTGGAGTTGGGTAGGGAAAGTAATATTTTAGTGTTTGTTTTAAACAGCTGGTATATCCAGTTTTGTTCATTTTGCATTGAATGGATTATTTGCCAATGTAAAAAGAGAAATAAATATAGCAGTCAAACTAAAATTAGGTCAATATGGATTTTAAGTTGTAATATATTTTGACGATCTTTATAGAATTACTTTCCAAATGTTAACTTGACTCAGTTTTTTTCTGAATGATTCCTACAGGGGAAATCTACATTAACACTACGGATCTTTTAAAATGTATTGATCATGTGGAGCATTAATTTGGTGTTTTAATGATGTAAAGTTTTCCTATATGAAAAATACTGCTAAAATGAAAGGAGATTTTATAAATGAAAATGTATGTGAAATAACAAAGGATAATTTACATTGTTTACGTTTCCTTAGACAGCTGTGTTTCAGAAGATGCTGTTGGAAAAACATCTCTGAAGACAGTTTCCCAATGTAGGCCTACATAAATCTACATAAAATAGATTTATTTTGCACATAAACAAAAAAAATCCTATAAGTCTGTGGTGATGGTGGTGGTGGTGGTGGTGGTGGTGGTGATGTGTGTGTGTGTGTGTGTGTGTGTGTGTGTGTGTGGTTGTGTTCTCTCTTAGTATGGCTTAATTCAGTGTTTCCCAAACTAAACTCACCTAAGACTTTTCTGTTCATATAAACTAATGTCTCATAAAATCTACTTTGGAAATTGTTGCTTTATATCTGCATAGTAAATGTCATGAGGATTCTGACACATAGGACAAGATTATAATGTATAAGAATAAAAATAAATTTTATTTTGTTATTTTCTTAACATTTTGAATTTTGTGTGCTGTTCATGAACATCAGCCTCAGCTGAAGAAAAAGTCACTGTAAAAGAAAATCAGACTGCAAAAAATCACATTGGAAAGTTTGAAGTACCAGGCTCTTTGGAAGAGTCAAGTGATTACTGTAGCAACGAACAAAGGTGATTAACATAGATGCTGTTTTTATATAACATCATTTAGAACATAAGTAAAATGTGATATCCAGAGTATATTAGAAAGACATTCCCGGGGAGAGGAGTTAAACTTAGAGTCTTGCACTTGGGTAAGCAAGCACTCTACCACTTAAGCCATGCCAGTTTGTTTTTCAGGTAAGATTTCACCCATTTGTCCTGACTGGTCTCCAACTGAGATATTTGTGTCTCCCCTGCAGTTACACTAGCATACCATCTAGTCTAGTCCTAGAAAGATTTCTAATTAGAACAAGAGCATGAGTGGTATTAGTGATACCTTTAATTAAAATTACCTTGATTATACTAACATTTTTCTAATATAATAAGGGATAGTTTGGCTGGGAAGGTGGCTCAGTGGTAGAGTGCTTGCCTTGCATGCCTGAGGCCCTGGGTTCAATTCCTCAGCACCACATAAGCAAAAAGAAAAAAGCTGGAAGTGGCGCTGTGGCTCAAGTGGTAGAGTGCTAGCCTTGAGCTGAAGAGCTGAGGGTCAGCGCCCAGGCCCAGAGTTCAGGCCCACGACTGGACCCCCCCCCCAAAAAAAAATCTCTTGGTTTAAAAAAAAAATAAGGGATAGTTTATTACTCAAATATTTTCTGTTGATCTTTTTTCATCAAGGATATTTGATGACAGTGAAAGGTTCTTGTTAGAACTAATTCATATACCTCTTTAATTTTTGGCTATTAATATGTTTTGAGTATTTCATTGGTATCATTAATTCAAAATGATAATATTTGTATATTTGCTTACAATTGTTGGAAATTAAGACATGATTTTTATTTAAAAAATTATTTATAGACTGGGTGTGTTGGCTCATGCTTGTTAATCCCAGCTACATGGAAGGCAGAGATCAGGCAGATCACAGTTGGAGACGACCCTGAGCAAACAGCTAGTGAAACATCTAGTGGTGGCACACATCTGTGATCCCAGCTACTGGGAGACATCAATAGGAGGACCATAGTCTCAAACCTTCAAAAATGTGAGAACCTACCTGAAAAGTAATGATTCAAATCGTAGAGCATGTACCAAGTAATCTAACCTCAATGCCACAAAAAAAAAATTAAGGGAAATTATAAATTTTTAATCATTTATATTTGTTGCAAATAGTAAGCTATAATTGGAATTAATTGCCATATGATTTTATTACTCATAATAATTGTGATGCATACTGATCACTAATGAACTTAAAAGGAAATGTGATAATGGCCTCAGGCTGATTTTTTTAAGAGTCAGGGTCATTATGTTACTTAAACTCATCCTTAATTCTTGTCTCAAGTGATCCTCCTGCCTCAGCTTCCTGAGTAGTACAGGTATCTGATACCCCACTGGGTTTTTAGGCTGACTTTAAACATTTTTAATGTTATACTTGTGTTTGTAGAACATCAAAGAAAAGATCTAAAGTGTTTACAAATGAATATAAAAGCTAATATTAAAATCAGGTTTTATTGTGACTTTTTAATCTGTCTTTTTCTTTAAAGTCAGTTACTTTGGAAAAACGAAGATGATATAACTATTGATAGACAACAGATCAATCAGGTATGATATTAAAATTTTTAAGTGCACTGTTGAGACAATACTTTTTCAGAAATTGAAGTTTTCTAGTTATGATACCAAAAGCATGTTGTTCTAATACCAATATTATCTCAATAGTGTGATTTTTGTTTTGCTTTTGTGACTGAACAAACAATATGCCAAAATGAAAGTGAGGAAAATGTTATCTATAGTAACTATCGGGATTATATGTTCAAATGCTGCTACTATTTTTAGAGGTGCACTATTCTTAACTGGAAGCTGTAGCAGCTGATTTTTAATTTAACACATTAATGCTGCCACTTAACTCAGGTCTTTAGGACATATTTCTCTAGTTTGTTGAGAGGAAGTAGTATACTAGTGCTTGAATTGTTTGTTGTCAGTCACTAGTTACTAATGGTGTGATCTTGGACATGTTATCTAATTTGAATAACAGTAGTTAAAAGAGTTAATGACTATTATTCAAACTACCTATTTATTCTCAAGAACTTGTGGAGAGAGAATTTTGCAAATATTTGTGAGAAGAATTTAAGACATCCTTAAGATACTAACAATACTAGTTTTAAGAATAGCCAACAATGAACAAGTTAGATAAGAAGTATTAAACCTAGGACTAGATCTTAAGCAGTCTAGACTAGCTTCATAGCTCATGCTGTAAACCATTACAATTTCTCATTATTATTATTTAATAATATTTAATAGTATTACTACAATGATAAATATATTATAATGCTTAATATATTAAATATATTAATATTTATTGGTTGGGTAGGAGGCCCTGTTTCCACCTTTAGTACTGCAAAATAATATACCAGTAACAGCATAACAATGATAGAACATTTATTGACCTGAGCACTACATTGTCTTATATGTATTGTTGTTCAATTCAGTAACTCTTTGATAAGATACCTTTACCATCAGACAAGGAGACTAAGATACAGAACATTAACTTAAATTTTTTAGACTTATTTGTCAAAACTCCAGCACTAGTTAACAGATAACTAACTTCAAATGAGTGTCCAGCTTTGCCCAAAAGTATTACACTACATTTTCCTGGAGCTATTACATCTCTTTTAGACAATTCTGTCATATTTTCTCCTCAGACCAAAACCTTCCTCATAGAATCTCAGTGGTAATTTCTCTTTGTGAAAATAGAAGCAGTTTGAAGAGAACCATCACATCTCAGAGTAAAGTTCAGGGTGGTACTCATTTTTGTTCTCAAATATCCATTGTACCCACACTATAAAGACTTTATTTTTTTTGATGAATTATTCAAAAATCAACTGTCTTGGGCAGTTTTTGGCCTGCTTTCCTCTTCAGTGACCATTTTATGTCCTTAATCCAGTACATTTTCATTACTTGGACTTTATAGTACTTCTTGCTATCAAATAGTATAAGGCTTCCAAATGAAGTCAGCAAGTCAGTCTGTTGATGGGCCTCCAAGATAACTATATAAGAAGAAAAGTCATTTCAAGAAACCATGCCTAAAACCTGGGCTTTTATATTTCTGTTGCTTCTAATTTCCTTCATTCCTTCTTACTTAAACCTACACAGAACAGATTCAGGTTGCTTTTAATCAGTCATTGTAGTGCAGTCCTGTAAGTCCATCTACTTGATAGGATTGAAGTTTTGAGTACAGCTCAGCCAAAAGTTAATGAAACCCTATTACAAAAAAACAATTGGGCATGGTGGTACAAATCTGTAACATCAGGTAGATAGAAGGAGGATTGTGGTCTGGAGTCAGTCCTGGGCAAAAGTTAAGACCCTATCTTAAAAATAAAATTGAATAAAAGCAAAACTGGCTGGAGATGAAGCTCAAGTAATAGAGTGTTTGCCTAGCAAGTACAAACCCTAGTACCAACCCTCCTCCCCCCAAAAGTGAGATGTGGGCAACAAAGTCCCAAAATGGAGAAAAATATTTATTACAACAGAACTGAAACACTTTGCTATGTTTTATGCTAGTGGAAATTTACAGAAATATTATTGGGAATAAATTCAGACCAGCAATGATAATAGATATACCTGTTGAAGATTCTCGATTTAGTGTACTAGCTTAAGCAGCTGTGATAGGTGAAACAGTTTGCTCAATTAATAAGAACCAGCAATATATAAGACTTCTGCTAACTAAATTTAAAATGCCAGAAACCTCTTGGTAAAAAGGAGAGCAAGAAATCCAACTATTTCAGGAGATAAAAATGGCAAGTGAAGATTTATCACATACCATTCACTCCTTTAACCACTGAGGAATATATTGGATTGAAACCCAGAAAATAAGAGCCCCTAAAATAACGTCTCCCAGTAGCTGGGATCACAGATGTGTGCACCACTAGATATTTCACTAGCTGTGTGCTCAGGGTAGTCTCCAACTGATCTGCCTGATCTCTGCCTTCTATGCATCTGGGATTAACAAGCATGAGCCAACACATCCAGCCTGTAAATAATTTTTTTTAACAAAAATCTTGTCTTAGTTTCACACAACTGTAAGCAAATATACAAAAATTATAATTTTTCATTAATAATACCAATGAAATACTCAAAACAATGTCTTTTATGCAGCCTAGAATGCAGACAGGAATGTATTCCCTGAATTCCTTATGATAAAGGATCTAAGTGGCAGAATTTGTAGCAGTTTATTATACAATTAAAAGCTATAAGGATATAAGGATGTTTGATTATGAAGTCCTTGAGAATAGTTCATTGCCAAGATATTTGTAAGATTAAGAGCTCACAGAATTCTGTTCCTTAGACTGAAATGGTTAAGCACACCAGTAAGTTCTTGGTGTGAGTCACCAAAAGTTAATTTTTATTTTAGCAAATAGAGATCTATGTTGAATAACTCATGTAATTTGTTTGGGGGGAGGGGAGTCTGGATTTTTCCTTTTTTATATATCAACATACTCTGCTTTTTTTTAATTTGTATTTATTTGATAAAATCCTCATGTTTTTTTTTAGCTTGTCTTAATCACTTTAAGTATGTCTCCTATGTACAGCCTAGAATTAGATTTTCCTCTGTCAGCCTTCAAAAAGCCTTTTTACTTAGTAAATGTGTAATATCTACGTGCATTATTAATAGACTTCGTACAGATTTGTCATTTTTAATGTGACAGGTAGTGTGAGTCTAATACCATGTAATTTGGTTTTTTACTTGGTCCTAGTTTTCAGGAAGGTTTGAGGCTTTGTTCTATCTAATATTTACTTTTTTTGGGGGGGGGTCCAGTCGTGGGGCCTGAACTCTGGGCCTGGGCACTGTCCCTCAGCTCTTCAGCTCAAAGCTAGCACTCTACCACTTGAGCCATAGCACCACTTCCAGCTTTTTTTTTCTGCTTATGTGGTGCTGAGGAATTGAACCCAGGGCCTCATGCATGCAAGGCAAGCGCTCTACCACTGAGCCACCTTCCCAGCTCTAATATTTACTTTTATAATAATAAAATTATGCTATTAGTCTTGACCCTTATTTTTTCTTTTTAAAAAATGTGTTCTTTGCTCTTTCCCAGCTCTCTCTCTTTCCCAGCTATTTCTTTCCCAGTTCTCTCTTCTCTTTCCCACCTCTCTTTCCCAGCTCTCTATTTTCCAGCTCTCTTTCCCACCTCTCTCTATTTCCCAGCTCTCTTTCCCAGCTCTTTCCCAGGTTTAAAATTTTTAAAAAATGTGTTCTTTTTAAATTTATTCCCTTTAGATTTGTTCCCTCTAAAATAGAACTCTACTAGTTATTTTCAGAGTGATCTAAATTCATTTTTTAATTTACCTCTCTTTTCCTTCCCTTTTATTTATTTCTAGTTGTGTTATTTCTGCTTTAAAAATACATCATTCCTGTGCTGTTCTTATATCCTATCCTCTTAACCTTTGTTTTGATCTCAGATCTCTAAATATATTTGAAATGGACCTGCCATTTTCTTTTACAGAATATGTGTTCATCATCTTTGGTTGGAGCATAGCTTGTAGTAGGGAAGCTTCTGATTCTACTATTCCTTTTGTTCTTTGTATGCTTTAAACCTTTTCTAGAACAAAGAAGAGCAAATAAACCTCTAGTCTGCTTAGTAAGTTACCCTAAAATGATTTTTACATTTAACAAAATACCTAAAAAAGCTGGGCATTGGTGCTCGTTCTTATAATCCTAGCTACTTGGTTTGCTCAGATCTAAGAATTGAGGTTTGAAGTGGCCTATGCAGAAAAATCAGTCAGACTCTAATCTACAGTTAACCAGCAAAAAGCTAGAAGTGAAGCTGTGACTCAAGTGGTAGAGTGCCAGTCTTGAGTGGAAAAAACAAAGCAAGAGTAAGAGACCCTGCCTGAGTTCAAACCCCAGTAGTGGTGCACACACAAAAAAATTCTTCAGAAGTGTGAGGCCAACTTTATTTTCTTTTCATTGTAAACTAGAATATAAAAAGATTCCTTTAATGTGTAACAGTTTTCTCAGACTCTGTATCAGTTAAGAATTCTAGATCAGGTTTTTTTTTCTAGGAACACACAGGACACTATTTTTTCAGTGTGAAACACTGTTGGAAAATATTTTTCATAATTGTAATTTTAATGAGTACATCTATTTTATTATGTTTTCCTCTTCCAGAGGTCACTGTTAGTGTTATTTTAGACCCTCTTCACCTTTATATCACTTTCTTTCTGATCTATGTTTTTACTTTATGTTTCATTTTCTTTTTATTTATATTCCTTATTATTCTTGATATAAATTTGATCATAGTTGTTTCCTCTTAAGACAACTGCTAATTTTTTTTCTTTCTAAGATAGTTTTGTTTTCTCTATCATTTTTTCTTCCCTTCTCTCTTCCTTCCTCTTCCTCCCTTTTGCTCTACCCTCTTCTACCTTGTCCACTTTTTGGTGGTAACAGGTATTAAACTCAGGGCCTGGAACTTTCTAGGCAGGCACTCTGACACTTGAGCTATGCCTTTAGTCCAATTTCTTTCTTGATTTTGACCAACTTCCATTTCACATTTTCCTGCTGTTTTTCCATTTTTATTCTAAGTTTTAATTTTTTGGGGGGTGGGGTCCAGTCATGGGGCCTGAACTCTGCACCTGGGTGCTGTCCCTCGGCTCTTCAGCTCAAGGCTAGCGCTCTACCACTTGAGCCATAGCACCACTTCTGGCTTTTTTGTTTTTGCTTATGTGGTGCTGAGGAATCGAACCCAGGGCCTCATGCATGCAAGGCAAGCGCTCTACCACTGAGCCACCTTCCCAGCCCCGTTTTAAAATTTTTGTTTTGCAAAGTTCATTGGTATCTGCAAGTACTTGCTTAATTATAGTTAATCTGTGTTTGGAATATTAGTACATTTTTCTCTGCTTCCAAGCTGTTTTTTCTTTAAAATTATTTTAGACTTAGTTTTGAGGTTTTCCTCAAAATTGAATGGTAAATTACTTTGTAGATACTGTTCATGTTTATTTTTGCTGAGATTTTTCTGTATCAGTAATAACAAGTGACACCAATTGGTAGACCAAATTTCTTTTATATATATGCATATATACACATATATATATATATATGTTTTATTGTAAAAATACTGTACAGAGGGGTTACAGTTACATGAGTAAGGTAAATGAGTACATTTCCTATCGAGCATTGTTACCTCCTCCTTTATTTTTCCCCTACCATCCCTTTCCTCCCCACTTCCCCAACTCCTCCTCCCCGCACCCAAGTTGTAAAGTTCAAGACCAAGTTTCTTTTTTTGGGGGGGGGAGGGGAGTCCGGTCGTGGGGCCTGAACTCTGGGCCTGGGCACTATCCCTCAGCTTTTCAGCTCAAGGCTAACGCTCTACTACCTGAGCCACAGCGCCACTTCTGGCTTTTTTTCTTTTTGCTTATGTGGTGCTGAGGAATTGAACCCAGGGCCTCAGGCATGCAAGGCAAGCACTCTACCACTGAGCCACCTTCCCACCCAAGACCAAGTTTCTTAAATATATTTCTTTTTATTGTTGTTGTTGGTGGTGGTAGTGGTGGTGGTCATGGGGCTTGAACTCCAGGCCACTGTCCCTCATCTCTTCAGCTCAAGGCGAATGCTCTTCCACTTGAGCAACAACGCCACTTCTGGTTTTCTGGTAGTTTATTGGAGATAAGAGTCTAATGGATTTTCCTTCCTGGAGCTGGCTTTGAACCGTGATCCTCAGCTCTCAGCCTCTTAGTAGCTAGGATTACAGGCATGAGCCACTGGCACCGGCCAAATATATTTCTTAAATCAGGAGCACCCTTTTCTGTTGCTATAGTGACTTCCAGCTCACTCTTTTATCAGTAATGAGACATTAAGGGGTGGGGGAAGAGATCTAGATTTGAAGAGATTCCTTTCTACTAATTTAAGGTAGAGCTCTTATGTTGGCCACTTTCTTCTTTCTTTTTTCCATACTATCCCCCCAAGAGATATTCTCCTCCCAAAATATTTTCTTCTCTCTCAGAAACTGTTTTCCCATGATTACTGCCTCTGCCCCTAACCTACATTTTTCAAGCCCTCCCTTAGAAAGTGCAGTAATGTATTTTGCTCTCTATCCTTCACCACAATTGGGCCCATTCCTTCCTCACTGAATGGTGGTTCACATTTCCTGTTTTCTATGTGTAGTTATGAAACCTACTCCATATCTATCTGCTCCAAGTGAATTCCTGATTATGCTCTGGTTAAGGGTTATAATTCTTTCTTACATGTAAATTGAATAGGTTCTGTGTCCTGCCTAAGCTATAATCATAAGCTCTGTGTGATTTATCTTCCCTCCTTGGGTGGTATGTGGAGAGTTTTTTTTCTAATTGAGGTAGAGTACATCGTCTTGTGGAAACATGATTCTATAATAAAATAAAATAGTCTGGAAAAAGAATACTAAAGATCAAAGTAAGAAGTTGATGAATTAAAAGTAGAAACTAATGAGTTTATAGAAGTAAAAACATAGCAGAGTTGAAAACAAGATCTATAAAATAGTAGTGAAAAAACATCAACATGATAAGGTTTGAGGTAGTTTGTTAAAAGGTAGAAAATAAAAATTTTAAAAATATAAAGGTAATACAAACACAAACATGACAATAAGCATATAAGAATAAAATGTAAGACTGGAGGGGTGGCTCAAGTGGTGGAATGCCAGCAGAGCAAGCAAGCCCAAGTGATTACACAGCCCCGGGTTCAACCCATGTCACCAAACATAAATACATAAATAAATTAATACATAAACATACACATAAATAAAATGAAAACCTATGCTAAAACATGGAAAATATGGTGACTAATTTTCTAGGTAAATATAAATTATTAAATTTGACTCTGGATGAAAAAAAATAAAGCAGTATTAGAAAACTAAAAGTGATCCTATTAAGCCCATTCCAGCCAAGCATAAACTGAGGCCCTACCTTGAAAATAAACCAAAGTGAGACTAGTTTCATGGCACAGTAGTAGACAACCTACCTTACAAGAACAAGGCCCTAATTTCAACCCCCAGTACTAACCAAAAAGAAAGAAAAAGAATGTGTTCTTTATTAAAATTTTTAGTATGTAAAATTTATAATTAATCATAAAATAGGAGTATGAGGGAGAATCTGTAGCTATAAATACAAAATCAAAATCCATCAGTATGTAAATAAACACATTGCTGGTGTCCACTGACAAATAGTTTCAGACAAATGCAAAAAGAATGTGTTGCCCTACCAGATCCAATTGATTTTCATGTTTTCTTACAGCTAGATGAAAAAGAGCACAACATCCTACCAGATCTCATTGACTTTCCTTCATTTCCTTTTCAACCTGTTCTTTCGTCAGGAATATCTGATAGTTCTTTATTACAAATGGAGAGTAAGTATTGCGACACTGGAAAATGGTTCTGTGGGATAAATGTGTTAATAAGGAGTTATTTAATGATCACACAGAGTTCCTAGTTCAGGAAAAGAAAAACATTCTGGAAACAGTGGTAGTGCTGATTGTATAATATGTATATGCTCAATGTCACTGAACTATACTCTTAAATTAGGTGGCAGTGGCTCACACCTGTAATCCCAGCTACTACAAGGAACTGAGATTTGAGGATCTTGGTTCAAAGTTAGCCTGGACAGGAAAGTCTGTGAGACTCTGTGTCCAATTAACCACCAAAAAAGCTGGAAGTGGAGCTATGGCTCAAGTGGTAGAGCAGTAGTCTTGAACACAAAGGCTCAGGGACAGCACTTACACCCTAAGTTCAAGCCTCAGGACTAGCATGGAAAAAAAAGATTAAAATATATAATTATTACAGAATTCTATAATTATTAAAATATATATTTGTCTATTTCATATATTCAGTCACTAATACTATTTTGTTCTAAAATATACATTCTCAGTGTAAGATGTTAGTTTAATAATTTTTCCCAACACATTTATCAAAACAGATAAGCATAAATTAATATTGTTTCTTCATATATATGTAAATTCAAGAGATGCTGTATTTTATTAATTCAGTATTAGAAACCAAAACATTCTCCATAATATTAAGAGCATAAAAAAGAAGAGTTTTTGGTAAAAATTATTCTTGTTTTGTATACACTTTTAAGTATTACATTCTTTTAGGATATAAGTCATCTATTAGGCTTTAAGCATTAATGAGTATGGATTATAATTTCTTTAGGACAGAAGATTATTGAACAAATGAAACAAGTAAGGGAAGAAAGAAAATATCTGGAAAATGTTAGAGAAGAACTAAATAAAAAAGTTGAAAAGCTATTTGAACAAAGCAAATTGAAACGATACCAAGGTAAAGTTTATTACATAGACTTTATCACAGTGAAGAACACTTAACTTTTAAAGAATTTTTAAAAATAAATGACAGAGTTATAATTCTAGCTAGTTATCTTACACTCCTCCTAGGCAGAAGGATTGTGAGTTGGAGACCAGCCCTGGAAAAGTTACTGAGATCTCAAAAATAAAATATAAATAAAGGAGCTGGCAGCACAGCTCAAGTGGTGGAGAGTTTGCCCAGCATGTATAAGGCCTTTGTTTAATGCCCAGTACTGTAATAATGATAATAATAATTTTATATTACTATATTACTGTTATATTTTAAGTAATACCTGATTAGAATGATATACTATAGGAAAACCAGGTCAGTATTCAACTTTTTTTGGGGGGGGTCTGGTTGTGGGGCCTGAACTCTGGGCCTGGGTGCTGTCCCTCAGCTCTTCAGCTCAAGGCTAGCATGCTACCACTTGAGCCATAGCACCACTTCTGGCTTTTTTTTTTCTGCTTATGTGGTGCTGAGGAATTGAACCCAGGGCCTCATGCATGCAAGGCAAGTGCTCTACCACTGAGCCCCGTCAGTATTCAGCAGAATTTGAAATCAAAACAAGTGAACTGCTTTTAGTAGGTTTCATTGTAATGGGAACATTATTAAGACAAGTTGTGAAGTGAAGGAATGAAGTGCAACGAAGCTGAAGCCTTATGTTGAGGGACTTTCTGAAAGAGTGCCGGTGGCTGCTGAGGAGCTGCTAGCACCAAAGTAAAATTGTTTGAGAGTCTTAGTTTGTCTTGGAGAATCATCTTAGGTAAGATTATTGACACTACAATATATTGAAAATGCATTGAGGGATTCTATAGGAGATTTTTTAATTTATTTCACTCTGGCTTATGCTACTGAAAAGCCTCCAACTAGCCATTTTTGTTTGTGGGATAAGTGCAAAGTTACACACAAAAGAACTAGAAGGCATGTATAGCACAAGAGGTACGGACTTGAGGTACCCATTTCATTGATGAAAAAATTTGAGCTAACATTTGAAAAGATGTTCCCCATCCATACCATACATAACACGTTGGATTTTTCTGCCACACAATGTTAAATTGTTATCCTAGGAGTAGTTAGTAGCAGTAACTCAGCCTTGTGGTACTATAAGAGTAAATTTTTTATCAGCCAAGTTTGAACAATGGACTAGAAATGACAGGACCCAGATTAGCAACAGATCAGTCTTTTTCTCAGTCAAATTATTTCTCTTCCTATAGCTGGCACTTTGTTTATATATAAAATGGGATGATCACTCACCTTCTACTTCAAGGGGAGTGATTCAAGATTTTTACAAAAGTATGTATACCAGCAATGGATAAAATAGAGCTGGCTTCACCCTTAAGAATCTTGCTTGTAAGTTGGTGGAGGTGAACAATAAATAACTAAGATAGTACTAGCTACTGATGAGAGAAGCACTTATAAAGAGCCTAATAAAGAATTATATAGGACAGGAGAGGTTTCAGCTAGGGATTTCAAGGAAGATATCTCTGAACAGAGTTGCTTAATAAAGAGGCTGGCATATAAACAAGGTGAAAGCAATCTGAATAAAAAGTATACTGTCAAGGCCCAGGATGAAAATAAGAATTTAAAGAGGATTATAGGTAGAAAATAAAAACGATCAGCAAAGAGAAGATAGTCTGTCAGAGTTGGAGTTTTATTCTAAATAAGGTAAGGAGCCATCTGGAGCCATCTGAGAATTTTAAGCTAGGGCTTAACTTGATTTTAAAAGTATTTTAGTGGCTGGGGGGGGGGGTTTACTCAGTGACAGTAAACTTGCCTATCAACTGGTAGAGAGCTAACCTTGAGCTGAAGCGTGCAGGGAGAGTGCCCAGGCCCAGGGTTCAAGCCCCACGACCAACCAAAAAAAAAAAGAAAGAGAAGAAAATTTGCCTAGCAAGTGCTTCCCTGGGTTTGAGCTCTAGAACAATCTATCCATCCATCCGTCTGTCTATCATCTGCTACTAAATCTATTATCTAATCTGTTCAATTCTTAAAAAGTTCAATTCTTTAGCCATACTCAACTTTATAGCCTTTGGTTTTGTTTGTTTATGGTTTTTTAAATTATTGTAAGTCAGGTAATAAGTATATTTCTTTTTAGACAGTGTTCCCCACTTCCTTCACTCTCTCACATTTTCCCCCTCCCTTTTCCACCCACAAGTTATATAGTTCATTTTCAACACAGTGTCTGTGGAATAGCACTACTGTATTTGTTCATCTATTGTCCCTCCATTTCTTTACTCCCCCTGACCCCAAAGACAGATAAACAAGACAAACAGAAAAAAAGAACTCTTGTACAAATTTCCTAGAGTTCATTTAGTCTATGGTTTTGTTTTGTTTTCATCTTTTGCTTTTTGCTTTGTTTTTGTAGCCTGTGATAATTGGAAGAAAAAATACTTGGAAACAAAGAAAGTCACATCATCATTAGAAGAGGTTTTAACAAAACTTCGAGAAGATTTGGAACTTTACTATAAAAAATTGCTCATGCAACTTGAAGCCAGGGAGATCAAGATGAGACCAAAGAATTTGGCAAACATCTCAGACTCTAAGGTACTACATGTGCTGTCCTTCTATAGAAATGTTCTGTTCAGAAAACGTGATTTTTGGTGTTGTGAGATTTAAGATGCTTCAGACTATATAACAAAACTGACTTGGGGTGGGAGGAGATGGGAAGGGATGGGAAGGGGAAACAAAGGAGGAGGTAACAATGCTTGATAAATGTACTCATTATCTTGCCCATGTAATTGCAACTCCTCTGTACGGTATTTTCACAAAAAAAAAACAACAGGAAAATAACTGACTTAAATTTGCTTACACAGTAACAAAATTCTTGAACCATGTTATAGATGGAAGGCTGCTGAAAGTTAACAGCAGATATGATGTCTTACGTGCTTCTGATATCTCCTCCCTATTAAGTGTTGGCTCATTATGATTGTTTTTACTAAGAGTAAAAGTAGAATTGCCAATTGTAATTAGGGTTGCATATCTCCAAAACAAAATAGAAACCTCTTCTTGAATCATGAAATATACAGATCTTTCATTTTATCCTGGTAGGGGATCAACTAGAACTAACTCAAGATAAATAATTATTGCCAAAGAATGCACTCACTGAATGTTATGCCTTAGATTAAATAGCATATGCCGTTATTCATATTTCCTAACATAAAGAAGGTAGCACCTGATGAAGTAGTAGGGCAGAGTACTAACAATGTTCACTACAGTCTGTCTTTAAGGAGGTGTGGGGCATGATGGAACCTACAAAAATTTTTAGGGTATTGATATTATTGTGAAATTTTTAATGATTCCTTTTTTTCTTGAGATAGTCTTGAATCTTAGAGATTTAATTTTATCTTATTATTGAATAATCCCATCATATACTTAAAAAGCAGACAAAATAATTCTAGAAGCCATCTAACATCTTAACTTTTGTTAGTTTGATTCCATTGATCCAGAAGATTTTAAAATACATTATTATTGATAGTAAAGATTTTTAATTTTTAATTTTTTATTTTGGATAAATTTAATATAAAATCCAAATAGCTTCAAATAATTATGTGTCCATATTAGTTGTTTTTTAAAAGCATACCTATTTAATTAAGTTCCAGTTAGGACCTTTGCACAAAGGAAGTTCACAATTTCATTTTAGTCTGTGTGTGCCAGCCCTGGGACTTGAATTCAGGACCTATGTGCTATCCCTGAGCTTTTGTGCTCAAAGCTAGGGTACTCCCTTTAGAGCCACAGCTCCACGGCCAGCTTTTTTGGTAGTAAATTGAAGATAAAAGTCTCACAGACTGGGCTGGCTTCGAACTTTGATCCTCAGATCCCTGCCTCCTAAGTAGTTAGCATTACAGGCATGAGCCACCAGTGGCCCAGTGGAAGTTTACGGTTCTTAAATAACTTATTCAAGCTGGGCACTGGTAGCTCACGCCTGTAATTGTAGCTACTCAGGAGGCTGAGATCTGAGGATTGAGGTTCAAAGCCAGCCCAGGCAGGAAAGTCCGTGAGACTTTTTTTTGTGTGTGTGTGTCGGTCATGGGGCTTGAACTCTGGGCCTGGGCACTGTCCCTCAGCTCTTCAGCTCAAGGCGAGCGCTCTACCACTTGAGCTACAGCGCCTGCCCGGGCTGGCTTTGAACCGCGATTCTCAGATCTCAGCCTCCTGAGTAGCTAGGATTACAGGCGTGAGCCACCGGCGCCCGGCCCGTGAGACTTTTATCTCCAATAAACCACTAGAAAACCGGAAGTGGCGCTGTAACTCAAGAGGTAGAGCACTTGCCTTGAGCTGAAGAGCGCAAGGACAGCTCCCAAGCCCAGAGTTCAAGCCCCACGACTGCCCCCAAAAAACAAAAACAAACAAACAAAAAGCTTATTCAGTGACAGCCACTATACCTTATAAACTTCTCTGAATAAAAGGAACCAAAATGTCTTCTTATGTTAAGTAGGATGTCTTAAATCGTTTCCTTTCTAACTATTTAAAAACTCTAATCTGATTCAGATAATAAAGCATTATGGCAATTTCTAATATCTTGCCATTGTCTTAAACCTGGGTTATTCCATTTGTAGTAGTAGTTACTCGTTTTTATAGGACTACTTTTATGGCAACTTATACAGATACCAATTTTTTAAAATAATAAATGAACAATGGTAGGACAGAAGAGATAGACCAGAAATCAACAGAAAGTCATAGTGATATATGCCAAAGCAATATTTATTTTATGGAATAGATTATGTTTTTTATTTTCTCATTTGACATTTACCATTTCAATTAATGCTGGCAAGGCACTTTATTCTAAAATATATGGACATTATATTAAATAAATAAGTCTCTTTATATATCACACAGAATAATCTTATAATCCAGATCACTGAGGTACAGCATGCAATTGACCAACTTAAGAGAAAATTGGATACTGATAAAATGAAACTCATAATAGAAGTTAAGGTAACTTGCATTTCTCCTATTCAGATCCTGTTCATCTTGAAATAAAATATTTTGGTATTTTAATCAAATATATGTGTCACTAATATAAGGGCCATCATGATTAACTTCTTAACATTGTTACTTTAACAATTAAGAGTATCAATTGGAGAAGAAAAATAATTGTTTATGATGATGCATGTTACAAGCCTGAGGGAAATTTAGTAAAATTTCACTAAAAATGACCCTGTGTCAATACAGTTCTTTTTTTTTTTTTTTTGTCAATACAGTTCTTAACGATTTGTTTTTTCCCTTCCCCTCCACATACCAACATCAAATACAGTAAAAGCAGGGGTTATACCGTGGGGGAGGGACATACAAAGCAACAAAGAAATCATCTTATAAATATGTTAGAAACAATCGCATGAGAGAAAAAATATTTGAATACTTATCTTGGGGTTCATTTCACCTAAGGTCAACTTATCTGACCTTTTCTGCTTGTCTCGGACATATACTAGTTATTGCAAATAAGGGAAACCATGGGACCTATGTTTCTTTGGGCCTAGCTTACTTCACTTGATATAATTTTTTCCAAGTCTTTCCATTTCCTAACAAATGGGGCAATGTCATTCTTTCTGATGGAGACATAGAATTCCATTGTGTATATATACCACATTTTCTTGATCCATTCATCTACCAAGGGGTCTATATTCATAAGTAAGTCTATAGAGTAGGAGTAGTCTAAGAGTAGGGAGTAAGTCTTAAGAGTAGAAGAATTGCCATTGTAATTAGGATTACATATCTCCAAAACAAAATAGAAACATCTCCTTGAATCATGAAATGTACATATCTTTCATGTTAGCCTGGTGGGAGATCAACTAGACCTAACTCAAAATCAATAATTATTGTCAAAGAATGCACTTACACAATTTATGCCTTAAATTAAATAGCATATGTAGCTATTAATAATGATTAGGGCCACATTTCCTAACATTAAGAAGGTAGTACCTGATGAAATAGGGTAGAGTACTAAAAATGTTCACTACAATATGTCTTTAAGGAGATGGGGCAATCAGAGCACTCCTCTGAAATCTAGATAAAATTTTCTCTTCTCTTGGGTAATTATCTCATTCTTTTGAGTTTTCATATGTATTTTATTTGTTTTTAATATGAATCATGGACTGTCAACTAGATGCTAAGTTTACCTCAGGGAAAACTCTCCTTTAGCTGTGTTTCTCACATTGGATCTTTCATATAGTAGATGTTTAGTAGATGGTCTAGGCATACTTATTTGACAAAATTTTACATAATTATTTCACCATAGAAACTTTCTCTCCAGTATAGATATTTACTTGCTAATTCTTCTCTCCTTCCTTCCTTCCTTCCTTCCTTCCTTCCTTCCTTCCTTCCTTCCTTCCTTCCTTCTCTTCTTCCTTCCTCCTTTCCTCCTTCCTTTCCTCCCTCCTTCCTTTTCTTGCTGTCTTGTCTTCTTTTTTTTTTAGTGCTAGGAATGTAATCTGGGGCCTCATGCATGAGGCAAATTCTTAACCACTGAGCTACCCCAGCCCCTAATAAGTGTCTTTAAAAACTTTTTGTTGAACAGAAAACAAGAAAAATATACATTTTACACAAGTATATCTACACAGAACAGAAAAATAAGATCAGTAATTATAGAAATGCTTGCCTTTGCCTCACATGCATGAGGCCCTGAGTTCAATTCTTCAGCACCACATAAACAGAAAAAGCCGGAAGAGGCGCTTGTGGCTCTAGTGGTAGGGTGCTAGCTTTGAGCTATAGAGCTGAGGGGCAGCGTCCAGGCCCAGAGTTCCGGCCCCATGACCAACAAAAAAGAAAAGAAAAAGAAGAAAGGAAGAAAGAAAGAAAAGAAAAAAAGAAAGGAAGGAAGGAAAGAAAGAGAAATGCTTGCCATTCACTCTTTATCAGAGATAGATTTAGAGCACAGAATTACCCCTCCCACAATTAGCACTGTCCAGTTGAACTTTCTATAAGGATGAGGTATTCTGCACTTCACCCTCCCAACAGTAGTTTTAGCCACTACCACCTGTAGATGCTGAACACTTGAAATGTAACTTCAGGGACTGAGGAACTGAATTTTAAATTTACCTGAATTTAAATTTCATTAGCTATGGCATCTAGCTACTACTTGGATAGTACAGGTCTAAATTTTTTATGTCACAGAATTTTCTAAGCTAAGCTTATTTTTTTGTTTTTGGTTTTTTTTTGTTTGTTTGTTCTGGTTTTTTTGTTTGTTTTTGTTGGTCGTGGTGCTTGGTCTGGGCCTAGGCACTGCCCCTGAGCTCTACAGCTCAAGGCTAGTACTCTACTATTGGAGCCACAACACCACTTCCAGTTTTCTGATGATTAATTGGAGATATAAGAGTCTCACAGACTTTGCTACCTGGGCTGGCTTTGAACCATGATCCTCAGATCTCAGTCTCCTGAGTAGCTAGAATTACAGGCGTGAGCCACCAGTGCCCAGCTAGCTTACAATTTTAAATACAGAAATCAAATGTCAGTGCATGAATGTGAGCACGCGCACACTGGTCTGGGGGCTTGAACTCAGTACCTGGGCACTGTCACTTAACTACTTTTACTCAAGGCTAGCACTATACCACTTGAGCTACAGTTCTACTTCTGGCCTTTGTTCTGGTAGTTTGGTAGAAATATGAGTCTCACTGACTTTTCTTGCTGGGGCTATCTTTAAACCCCAGTTCTTAGATCTTAGCCTCTTGAGTAGCTAAAATTACAAGCCTCCAGTGCCTGACTCCAGAGATCAATGTTTAACTCAATATGAATTACATATTCTTATATATTATACTGGAAGCAACCTAGATGTCTCTCAGTGGACAAATGAAGCAAGAAAACATAGTATATACACAATGGAACTCTGTGCTTCCACCAGAAAGAATACTGGAAAAAATTAAGTGAAGTAAATCAGATCCAAATAAACATAGGTTGCATGGTTTCCCTCATTTGTAGTAATTAAAATGTGCCTATAAATCTACAAGTAAACACATAGAATGTAAAGGACAAAAAAAATTGCACCTGATAAATTAAACAGGACTCTATAAACATTTACAGTGAGATCAAATGAGGATATCCTTAGGAGAGGATCACAAAGGCTCAATAGCCATGTGCATATGGTCGTATAAAATTATGTCTATTGAAATGAACTTCAAGAAATGGAAAGAAGAGCTTATATTTCTTTTTTTTCTCCTTTGTCACTTTTTTATTTCTGTACCTTTTGTATGTAAGCTTATCTGGGGGAGAGTAAAAGGAAGCACAGAAATGGTGGGACAAAGGTAGAACCAATGCAGCCGTGATATTCACTAGACAGTGTTGTGGGGGAGAAGGGTTTGCAGGGAAAAACTGGGAGAAACTGAGGGAAGAGGTGACACAGTTCAAAAAGAAATGTATTTACTACCTGACTTATGTAACTGTAACCCTTATGTAACTATGTAACTGAGCATCACCTTTACAATAAAAATAGGTAGATGATAGATAGATAGATAGACAGACAGACAGGCAGGCAGGCAGGCAGGTATCATAACTGACAAATTTGCCTGTAATAAGTGTTAGGAATGAAAGTAAAGAAGCAAAGGAGGGAAAACAGTTAAAATAGTACAAAAAACAAAGGATACACAAAAGAGTAATTTGAAGGTAATTCTTTTTTTTTTTAGATGAGAAAACAAGCAATTTCTGACTTAAGAACATTGAAAACCGAACTGGCCCAGAAGAAAATTAGTCCAGCTTTTCACTCTCAATTAGGTATGTTCATTTAGCTATTTCTTTAAGTTTTTAAATATTGCAGATTAAACCATTTTTCCTCTTTTTTTTGGGGGGGGGTCCAGTCGTGGGGCCTGAACTCTGGACCTGGGCACTGTCCCTCAGCTCTTCAGCTCAAGGCTAGTGCTCTACCACTTGAGCCACAGCACTACTTCCGGCTTTTTTTTAATTTTTGCTTATGTGGTGCTGAGGAATCATACCCAGGGCCTCATGCATGCAAGGCAAGCGCTCTACCACTGAGCCACCTTCCCAGCCCCCATTTTTCTTCTTTATAATATATTGATTAAAAGTTTTATGTATTGGTTAAAAAGTGAAGTAAAAATGGTTTATCTTTTTCTACTTTTCATGTGGATATTAGATGTAATATAAACCTAATGGTGGCAGCTTTTTGTCTTTTACATTTTCAAGTCTAATGCATTGTACACAATTGTTGGATTTGAACCCATCTTTGAAAAAAAAAATTTAAAAATCAAGTCTGGAGCTGGAAATGTGGTTGACACATGAAGACCTAGGTTTGATTCCTCAATACAACAGAAACAGTGTCTCTGGGGCTCAGTGCTAGAGAGGCTTGTGCACAGAGAGACTTGGGGCCAGAGCCCAGCCCCTGAGTTCAAACCCCAGGACTGGCAAAAAGAAAAAAAGAGTGTATATATGTATAAATTCAAGTCTGTTCTATAATAGTATTTTGTTTTTATTTTTGGTAATTTTGAGTATGAACTATAAAATCTGATTACAAGGAAAATATAATTTTAATAAATACCAGTATATCTGCATGAAAACAGATTTAATCACATCAATTATAATCAATATTATCTATAATATAATATAGATTATGTAGGCAGTGTTATATCTATAGAATTTTATAGTATTATCTATAATTAGATTATATAATAATCCATATAGGTTATATAATCTGTATGGAATACATATATATATTTAATTACATATTTATAAAAGATATATGTATATATGTGTGCATGTGTGTGTGTGTATGTGAGTATATGTATGTCTGTGCCAGTCCTGTGGCCTGAATGCAGGGATGATGTCCATAAGCTATTTTGCTCAAGCCTAGAGCTCTATCACTTAAGCCACAACTATACTCTAGCTTGTTTGGTGGTTGAGATAAGAGACTCATGGACTTCCTTGCCTGAGCTGGCTTTGAGCCACAGTCCTCAGATCTTATCCTCCTGAGTAGGTAGGATTTTACAGGAGTGAGCCACTAGTACCTGGCTGCTCACTATATTTTAAATAAAACTAATTTTATATAAATTATGATAGAAATTGTTATCTAAGAATTGAATTTCTATTATATGTGATAATTTTAAAATGCAAAGAGATTGTTTTAGAAATTTAATTCAATAAATACCAAGGAAATCGTTCACTTTGTAGTCACATACAAATATATAAACAGAAAATAACAGATGATTGAAACATTATTTATTCCAATATTAAGGAGGTTATGCAGAGAAGACAGGATTTATTTGAATTAGAGAGCAAGGATGCAAATTGTCTATATATTTTTAATCTGTATGTCTTAATAGACTTCTCTTTTAGAAAAATTATTTGCACAAAATTAATCATTTAGAAAAATTAGAATAGCTGAGAAAATACTATCTTTACATAATTAAAAGTAAACATATAGCTATAGAAAAAGAAAAATTTAGCTATGAAAAGCTACCTAAGAAATGGATATACAGTTGTTCACAAATGAATATTTGGGTAACTAGGAGTATAAATAACATTGAAAAAAACAAGTTCAACACAAACGTATTCCTATTGCAAAAAGCTTTACATGTAAACATCATAAAATAACTTGGAAAATATGAGGTAGCTCTAATTTACGAATTCAGAATATTACTAAATTATCTTCTTAAATAAATCTGATCTTTTGCATTCCTTTTCCACCTCACTCTCTCAATGTCTTGCGGTGTAAATGACTGCAGGGCACACTCAGAACGCGAGTACATACTATAAGGAGTCAGAAAGCCAAACTTTATTTTCACCAGTTAGATGATGTAAAGATGTAAAATTCCAGGTTTCAAATACAAGATTTATTGTGAAAGAAAGTACAAAAAACCCACTTCTCAATTTTACTTCAAACTATACATATTCTTTTTATTAGTAGATATTAATTGTACAAAATGAGGGTCATTATGACATGTTTATACATATGGACCTTTGATCATATTCACCCCTCCATTTCCGTGACATCTCCAGATTCAAATTTTTTATGAGTATGTCTGATATCAAGGGAAACATTAGCATAGCAATTTTAGAAAGTGTTCCTATTTGTATTATAATGTTAGAACACAGAAGAATATTTATATAGTAAGTTGATGCATTTCTTACCATATCTTCCTGGATACTTAAAAGGTGTAGTTTCTGAACTCAAAGTAGTTCTTATTTTTTATTTAGTTTTGAGTACACTAATAACTAAAGTTACAGCAATATGGCCAAAGTGTACACATTTTTTTCTCTTGAAGAATTTAGGTCTTTGATACAGAACATTTTTCTAAATCTTAGTAGTTAAACAAAAGATGTTCATCTCTGTCATAGCTTTGGCTTTAAGGCTTTCCACATTTCTTCAGTTTGCTGTTTGGCGACAGTATCTTTAGAGTAGTCAAGAGAGTTTGCATTCCACATACCAATGCCCCGTAAGTCATGGTTTTGGATATACGCTGCCTTTAAAGAAATGCTTTGAGGGTTATCATACCATACTTGATGAAAATGGCCAGCAGGATCCTATACAAGAAAATTAAAATGGAAATTTAAAGTATTCAGTACAGTGAAGAAAGAAAGTCCTTACATCCTATGATTCAGGAAGGATTCAGAAAAGATCCTATGATTCAAAAAAGGATTCTATGATTCAGAAAGGATCCTATGATTCAGAAAGGCTGGATGCCAGTGGCCCAGGCCTATATTCCTGAATACTCAGGAGGTGGTTCAAAGCCAGCCTGGGCAGGAAAATCCAAGAGATTTATCTCCACTTAATTAGCAAAAAGCCAGAACTGGAGCTATGGCTCGAATGGCAGAGCACTAGCCTTGAGTGAAAAAGCTAAGATATCACTTAGGCCCTGAGTTCAAGCACCTGTATCATCACGTACACATATACCACACAAAAGATTCAAGGAACTAATTAATGCTCACTGGCTAGCACTCTGTCACCTGAGTCATGCCTACAATCCAAGGGAGAAGCATATTTTTAATGTCAATATGGAATTTGAACTCAGGGCCTGGGCATTGTCATTTAGCTTTTGCACCCAAAGTAGCACTCCACTACTTGAGCCACAGCTCCACTTCTTCTAGTATATTCTATTTAAGTTCCTTCTCATGTCCTAAGATTCTTTCTGTGATCTGATCTAAAGATTAGCAACCAAATGCACATCAGAATCATTGTAGACCTTTTCAAAGTACAGATTCCTTTGCTCCATACCACATTAAACCTATCAAAGCAAAATCTAGGGTTGATGCTAGTGTGTGTGTGTGTGTGTGTGTGTGTGTGTGTGTGTGTGTGTGTGTGTGTGTGTGTGTGTGTGTGTGTGTGTGTGAATATGTTGTGTTTTAATGTTCTATTAGGTGATTCTGAAATGCAATGAAAGTTAGGAATCACTATTGTTATCCACTAAAACCAGCTTATACAGTGTTTTGTATTTTCTACAGTTCCTGGAAGTGTGCCTAGCTAGGGGCTTCAGGAATGATTTTTATCTATGATGAATCAGCCAAAGGTAATGGGAATGGGGGAGGAAAGAATCTCATTTTGTCAGTCTTACAAAATTGATTCTTTTTAAAAGACTATTACAAGTGACTCCATCAGTGACTTTAGAACCATAAACTAGATAATGCTTTAGAACCATAAACTAGATAATGGTACCTTCTACCCTATAAAACCTCCTCTCAGACAAGAGATAAAAGACAACCAGGGTCTGGTGGCTCACACCTGTAATCCTAGCAACTCAGGAGACTGAGATCTGAGGATGAAGGTTTAAAGCCAGCCCAAGCAAGAAAGTCTGTGAGACTCTTATCTCAGCCACCAAAATGCCAAAAGGATCAAAATATACCAAGACCAAAGTGGATCTGTGGCTAAAGTTGTAGAGTGCTAGCCTTGAGCAAAAAAAAGCTCAGGGACAGTGCCCAGGCCCAGAGTTCAAGTGCCAGAATCAACACCCCTACCTTCAATAAAGGTAAGTAGGTAGTAGGAAGGTAGGAAGGTAGGAAGGTAGGTAGGTAGGTAGGTAGGTAGGTAAGAAGGAAGGAAGGAGGGAGGGAGGAAGGAAGGAGGAAGGAAGGAAGGAAGGAAGGAAGGAAGGAAGGAAGGAAGGAAGGAAGGAAGGAAGGAAAAAAAGAAAAGACTACTACTAAAGATAATTTTCTGATTTTATATACATTTGAGACTACTGAAGGACAACACTAAATGAATGCCAGTAATATATTGTATTGGACTTACTAGATTTTGAACTCAAGGCTTCATGCTTGCTATGCAGGCACTCTCCTGCTTGAGCCATGCATCCAGCCCAAATGCCAGTAATGTTTAATGGTAGAACTTGGTAAATGAATAAACTGTGGTATATTTTAATATGGTAGATTCCTTATATTCAAGAATATCTCATTTAAAAAAAAACTCATTTTATATCTTGTACCCCATTCTCTTTTTTTGGTTTGGTTTGTGATTTATTTAGGCCAGGCTGCCTTCAAATTCCATCCTGCTGTGTTAGCCTTTCAAGGGGTAGAATTAGACAAGTCACTACCACCACACCCAGTTGTTATCCCCATCCTTTAACATTTTTAGATGAAACCATGCATAATGCTCTAGGCATTTGTCAATTTTGACTAAAGGGAAACTTGTAAAGTCTGTAAATAATATGAAAGATTTTTGAAGATTCAAAGGCAAACTCAAAGGTATACCCATTTTGAATATGCCATCATTCTAGCCAATAACTGAACATTTTTAATATTGTTAAGTGTCTCAAAATAGGGAATGATCAAACAGTAAATTGGT